AAAAAAAAAAAAAAAAAAAAAAGTGGATTCTAATCCTGCAGAGGGAAACAATATTTACTCAGTGCCATTATGCTCCAGGCACTGATTGGGGTGCTTTCGTGATATGACCTCATTTAATTCTAAGAGCGACACTCTGAGGTCAGCATTATCATCAGCACTTTGCCAATAAGATAAAGACTCAGAGATGTGAAGTGACTTACCCAAGATCACACAGCTAGTAAGTGGCACTGCCAGGCCAACTCAGGCCTGAAACAGCATATCTGAGATTTGCTTCAAAATAACACACGGGGGCTTCCATGGTGGCGCAGTGGTTGAGAGTCCGCCTGCCAATGCAGGGGACATGGGTTCGTGCCCCGGTCCAGGAAGATCCCACATGCTGCGGAGCGGCTGGGCCCATGAGCCATGGCTGCTGAGCCTGCGCATCCGGGGCCTGTGCTCTGCCACAGGAGAGGCCACGGCAGTGAGAGGCCCGCGTACCGCAAAAAAACAAAAACAAAACAAAACAAAAAACACAAGGCTGGGGACTGAATGGGGTGAGGATGAGGCACAATTGTCCATGGATTATGGTTGCTGGGGCTAGTGACGGGTATTATATTTTTCTGTCTGTTCTTAGGAATATTAAGAATTCTCCACATAAACATCCCAGGTCTGACTCAGATGTTCGAGCTCTTTCTGTAGCTTTGAATATGCACTGTTACATAGTCCTGCTCTAAAGGTGAGGACCTAGCTTCTTCTGTTTGTAGGCGGCTGAGTTAGAAGACCCATCAAGGAGACCTGATGTATACTAGACGGCAAGCCACAATATTTCAGCTTTTGGTCTTGCAGGTGAGTTTGAAATTTGAACTAGAAAAAGATTATGACTGTAAACAAGAAAAAATTTCTTTAACATTTTGGACAGAACCTTCAGGAGTTGTTTTAGGCAAAGCCAAAGGAGAGAGGTCCTGGGACGGCAATAAACTATCGATACCTCTTAACTATGCACTTGACCATTTTATGCCTCTCTGTGTTCTGTGATCCAATAAAAAACTTAACATGGTGATTCCTAGTACAGAGGTTAGTTAAAGCCTAACTTGGGACAAGATGGGTATTATATGGGTTCACAATTTTTAAGTTTCACTATTTGAACTGTACCTAAATTAGAGAGGCCTTGCCAGGAGGCATCAGTACACCTAAACGTGTCAAACCACTCTGAGTCACACTGAAAACCAGGTCAGACACACAAACTGGACACACTGCCCCTCTAACCCCTTCCCACATACATAATGTGCACCGTGTAACTCTAAGAGGTGCCATTTACATAGATTGCACCATACAAGAAGCCTCTGGAGTTACAAAATGCAGAGGCTCTGTCCCAAATATACATTTCGCCTGGGTGGACAAAGCATGGGCTTCTGTTTCAGGCTTTAGAATATAGTAGTTCCCTTCCTCTCCTTTCCCTCCCAGCCAATTTTTCTGTGCTTTTTCTCCAAGGTACTTAGTTTTTAATAGACATCTTTTTTCCCCCTCACATTCTCTAACAGCCTTCTGCAAAAGGTAGTGAGGGCAAGAATAACTAAGACATAATGGTCAATGAGTATGAATATAATCTAGACATATCTTGCTCTAAGCCCCCTGAACTTCTCCTCCCACCTCCTTCCTCCCCACAGAGTTGTCCACTGTCTCATATAAGCCCAAGTTACTTACAGGGCGGTCTTCATCCAGCAAAGTTGGACCCTTGTTAACTGCCATCGGAGCTCTTCAAGCTGCAAAGCAGAGGGTTCCAGGTCCATGAGAAAGTCCTCAGCCTGAGATCCACAGGGTCAGTCCCCTACCTCTCATGGCCATCAGGGGGGCCCAGGCTGTCTGGGAACTCAAGTTCCCTGAAGAGAAGGTATTTGGAGGATGAATGTCACAGACAAGTGGCCAGTCCTTAGAGTCCCACAGGGATGAGTTGTCCCGCAGCCTACTTGTCAAGACCGTAGTTTCTTATAAGGATTCAGGGTAAGAAATAAAAAATGAAAGTGGTTTTAAGAGATAAGAGGTTGTAGATGTTTAGGAGCTCTTAGATGAGGGTCCAAAAGAGATGAACAAAATTTCAGATTTAGTTTCTTTTTTTTAAATGGAAAAGTTCTGCATTAATTCCTCTCTTTTTAAACTGGCAAATCTGCCAGTCATTCCCTCTGTGCTTAACCAGAGGAAAAAGTAGTCATTCTTAAAACCAGCAATTTCAGCTCTGTTCTGGAAAACTAGTGGCCCCAGAATATCTACTCTACACTCTTGGTCATTCACCCTGAATAATCTCTCCCTTAGTGGTTTCCCTGCAGGCCTCTTCATCCTCAGTAAAATTCCCAGAAGACCCTGACCCTCAACTTCTTTAATTCTCAAGAAACAAACCAGGTAAGGTTGTCCCAGGATCCCCACACTCACTCCAGCTGATGCCACCTTGGTCCCACGGAGCCCGGGCTGCAGAGTGTCTCCTCCAGAGGAAACAATTCCAGTTGCTCGGGGAGTCTTGAGCAAAGCTACTAACACCTCCCAGCTAGAGGAGGGCAGAGAGGAAGAGAAAGCTGGTTCATGGTTATTTGACCCAGCGTCCCCTGGGCATATCTTAACTTCTGTAAGGAGGTTTAGCCAACTAGGAGTTAGATTGCACAGCTGTAGGAAACCATACTCAAAGTAGTTATTATTCCATGAGATAGCTGTTCTGTAACATATTTCTGGCCCCCAGTTCTCAAGAAACTTTTCCAGAAAGAAGATGTTGGGATATGTGTCATTAGACTCATAAGCTCTAAAGTTTTATAATCTTTGGCTCCTTTTCCATTAGAGGGTCCTACGGAACCGTTTTCAACCCATTTCCCTCATCCTTATTTTTTACTATCAAGAATGAATTTTGAACAGTAAGATTTAAACCCACACAGGAACACAGTTTACCTGAATGTATTAGTCTTTGATTATGAAGATGAATTGCTCTCAGTGAAGAAGAGAACCAGAGTTGTGGTTTACTCCTTGACAATCCAGGCTTTGAGGGAGCAATTTCAATCTCTGCAAAAACCTGGATTTCAAGAAAGTTTATTGAACTCTACCTTGTCTAAGATGTCACCAGAATATGCAGTGGGAAAGCCAACTGGATTTTGTCAAGTTTGGAAAAGTGACAATGTTGACCAAGGTTCTGTTACTCATCAACAGCATCCAGACAACCACCTATCACCTCTCATCCCTTCCTTAGCGATGAATCAGGCAGGAGCCCCAGGTGCTAATTCTTGGCTTCGAAGATGATGGAGGCTGTGGTTTTCAGCCATCGTTTTCAGATTGTCTAATAAGGGCTTTTTAATTAAAATGGGTAATAGGACAAAACTTTTTTTCCTTATTTTTTGTAGAATCATATCTAGTGTTGACTCTCTGCTAAGTTGTATACTGTGGGCAATAGGAGAAAGAGGCAGGGAGTGGAGAGACTGATACAAAGGATCTATTTGGGTTTTTTTTGTTTTTATTTTTGGCTGCATTGGGTCTTCGCTGCTGCACATGGGCTTTCTCTAGTTGTGTTGAGCGGGGACTCCTCTTTGTTGCGGTGCGTGTTCTTCTCATTGCGGTGGCTTCTCTTGTTGCAGAGCTCAGGCTCTAGGTGGGCGGGCTTCAGTAGTTGTGGCACGCAGGCTCAGTAGTTGTGGCTCGGGGGCTCTAGAACGCAGGCTCAGAGTTGTGGCGCACGGGCTTAGTTGCTCCACGGCATGTGGGATCTTCCCAGACCAGGGCTCAAACCTGTGTCCCCTGCATAGGCAGGCAGATTCTTAACCACTGCACCACCAGGGAAGTCCCCAAGGGATCTATTTGTGGTAGATCCTTTGTATCAATCCTGTATCTAGGATACTGATAAAGCAGGAGAGGGAGGAAAGAGTCAAGCAGTCTCCACTCTAGAACGAGGCTCAGAGTTGTGGCGCACGGGCTTAGTTGCTCCACGGCATGTGGGATCTTCCCAGACCAGGGCTCAAACCTGTGTCCCCTGCATAGGCAGGCAGATTCTTAACCACTGCACCACCAGGGAAGTCCCCAAGGGATCTATTTGTGGTAGATCCTTTGTATCAATCCTGTATCTAGGATACTGATAAAGCAGGAGAGGGAGGAAAGAGTCAAGCAGTCTCCAAAAGGAGTAATAAATATGTGATACATTTGATACTTATTGATCCAACCTGGTCTTTTAAAATATAAGACAATAATGGAGAGGAAGAGAAGTATCTAAAAAAAGTAGCCTCAGCCCTCACCTCACTTCAAGGTTCAGGACAAATTATCTATGAGGCTGTGTCAAGAGAGAGTACCCTGGGCCAAAGGGCAATGTTAAGATTTTGAAGCCGTGGCTTTGGGCCAGAGGGCATACAGGGCTCTGTGCCTGAAAGCTCTGTTGACAAAGCTCGTTCTTTGGCCGCTTCAGCTGGGCGTCCAGGATGTGGGTGAGAGGTGAGAAGTAGTGAAAAGGTCTAAGGGAGTCCCTCAGGAAGGGTCCACTTTCCAGCAGCAGCTTGAAGGACATAGTTACCTTGTTTTCTTCCCCATCCCTACATGGCCCTCCCAACCCTGTCCAACTACCACATGAGCACAGAGACCTTGGTCATCTTGTGCACAAATGGATCCCAAACAAATCTAAGAATGGCACTCAAACATTCGTTGTTGAATAAACAAATTCTCGGGCAACAATGTTCAGTTGTCAATGTGCTGGCCCATACATCTATGAGAAATGTCTCTGGACAAATATGATATCACTTACATGTGGAATCTAAAAAATAATACTAACAAATCTATATACAAAACAGAAACAGACTCACAAACACAGAAAACAAACTTATGATTACCAAAGGGGAAGGGGGGTAGGGATAAATTAGGGGCATGGGATTAACAGATACAAATTACTATACATAAAATAGATAAAGAAAGATTTACTGTATAGCACAGGGAACTATATTCAATATCTTTTGTAATAACTACAAAAATATTAGGTTTGTAATAACCTAAAATGGAAAATAATCTAAAAAAATCCATATATATCACTGAATCACTTTGCTGTACACCTGAAACTAACACAGTATTGTAAATCAACTATATTTCAATTAAAAAAAACAAAACAAAAAATACACTTAGTAAGAATACCTACCATTTGGGGTGGGGATGTGCGGGGAGGAGAGAAATAGGTGAGGGAGATTAAGAGGTACAAACTTCTTACAGTTACAAAATAATTGTGTCACAGGTATGAAATGTACAGCATGGGGAATATAATAAATGTATCTTTGTCTGTTGACAGCTGGTACCTAGATTTATCATGGTGATCATTTTGAAATGTACAGAAATATTGAATTACTATGTCATGCACCAGGAACCAACATTGTGCTGTAGGTCACCTTTACTTCAAAAACAAACTCATAGAAAAAGAGATTAAATTTGTGGTTACGAGGCAGGGGGTGGGGAGAGGGAAAATTAGATGAAGGCAGTCAAAAAGTACAAACTTCCAGTTATAAGACAAATAAGTACTAGGGATGTAATGTACAACATGATAAATATAATTAACACTGCTTTATGTTATTTATGAAAGTTGTTAAGCGAGTAAACCCTAAGCGTTCTCATCACAAAGAAAAACATTTTTTTTCTCTTTCTTTAATTTTGTATCTATATGAGATAATCGATGTTCACTAAACTTACTGTGGTAATCATTTCATGATGTATGTAAGTCAAATCATTATGCTGTACAACTTGAACTTACACAGTACTGTGTCAATTATATCAGTAAAACTAGAAGAAAAATAAAGAAATGTCCTTGGTTTTTAGAATCCCTCATGAATGAATGTGGAGGCCTGGAGGTGGGGATGGTTAGTTATAAAGGACAAAGATGCACAGGGAACGAGGTAGCAGGGCACCATTAAGGTTTTCACAAATTCTCAAACAGGTGGCATTTCCCAAGCTCTCCACCACCCACCCTAACTTGCAGAGGACAAAACTACCAAGATGGACACCACTGTAAAATGCCATCACAGATTCAAGGCCAACTTCTCCAGGCAGAATCAAAAGCACCACTGACAGGGATGATATAGAGGACCCTCTCCTGGCTAGCAGTCTGGATAAGATTGTCTTAGAGGTCTCTTTCAACCTGGACGTTCTACATTTAAATCTTCCTTCATCCTTTTCCTGAGCTTGGATCTTCCAGCCAAGAGCTTATTTTACCAGAACTCACTCTACCAACTGTGTAGACTCTGATTATCTTTGGATCACCTTATTTTTAACTCTTCTCCATTCCCAGAACACATTCACAGATACATGAATAAATTTTGTCTATAAGTTTATTAGACATAACTTGTTACAGTAGAAGATCTGGACAAAGTAAAAATAGTTAAATTTTTTATTTGCCCTGATCTAGCAGCTTTTCTCTTAAAATTCCCGAAATGTTCTTTCTCAAATCCCGTATCTTGATTGGTCACTTTAAAAATAGAGAGCCAAGGACCTGAGTCTACTTTTTAAGAATCTCAATCACATTTATGGGAAATTTACTTAGTGCACATTTCTTTTCTCCTTTCCATCCAGTCCTGTCAGATGGCTGCACTGGCAGGACTGACACTAACCTCTTACCTGATGGTACCCTATTTCTCTACCTCACTTGCCTCAAATTAAGAGGATCTGTAATCACAAATAAGAACCCAACATCCAAGATGAGAAGTAGGAACACGAGCAAGTGGCATTGACTCATCGTTCTACTGTCCTCTGCTCTTGCCCCTTACTGCTCTTCTCCACCTCCCCCAACCACCCTACAAATATGAACTCTGATTTATTGTCGAATATAGTAGAATTTCATCGTATTTGTGAAATTTCTTAACTGCACAAATTTTGATGAAAATTAACGTGTAAGTGCCCAAAATGTTATATGGTTTTAAATAAAACATCCTGCTGGTGGATCTAGATATAGTTTTAATTTTTGTAGAATATAAACCACTGACCAACAAAGGTTCTAAAAAAGGCTTTTCGCACAGGATTCTGGAAAGTCTTGCACTTCCACTCAATCAGGAAGGCAGTGAAATATGGAAAGAGCACTGGATTGGGAGTCAGAGAAATGAGGTTATGTCCTCAGTTTTAACCTCAAGTCTCTTCATCTGTCACAGGGAAACCTGCAGGCACCAACTGTAACTTTCCACATTATTTTTACCTCAAGTCCTTTCTATCTGCTTCTGATTTTTTGTTTCCTTACGGCGCTATCTAAAGACACAATTTATACCATGAAGGTGCCTGATGCACTTCTGATTTTACTACTAGACAGAGGAAAGACAGGAGCGCAGTGATGTAAAAGCCAAGTTAAGAGGCTAAAAACCCAGCTCTCCTCCATCCTGGCCCTGGCAGCTATGGAGGAAGTGGGATAACTGATCAGAGAATAAGGGGCCTCCACTAAATCTGAGAGAGGGTGTGTATCAGACCTACTGTAGTTGGGCAAAAGTAGTGAGGCACATGGCCCAAAAGTTAGTTATATTAGTGTCCACTTGTTAGTTTGGATCTTTTTCAATTTTTCTCTTAATTTTTATCCATTCAGCAACACTAAGTTCCTAATATGCACATAAAAGATGCTCGATAAATGTTAGATGAAGGAAAAATACTCAGAAATTCAGAAGTCACTCCAGTGCTCTAGAAAACTCATAAACCTTCATGATCTTCCCTCCACCGTTCTTGGCCCCACCTCTGTTCACATCACAGGCCACTCAGTGCTCATGTGACTAAGTCTGTAAGCACAGTATGACATGGCTGTACCTAATGCAAATGTCCATTTCACTAACAGGTTGTCTTCAAAGCAGGTACTAGTCTTCAGCCTGAAACCACCTCAGCGGGTCTTCAGTTTCATCTGAGGATACGCCACAGTGATGATGCCTGCTATAGAGGACACGAGACCTCCAAGGCCTATGATGCCAGGATTGGACTTATAGATCCCCAGCTGGTCCAAAGGGTTCAGGATATCACAGAAGTTCTTCACTGTGTCCAGGAGCAAGGGAGGATGCTTCTTCAGAGATTGGAATAAGAGAAGAAGAAAGGACTGGAGCCATTCTGTTTCCTCATCAGCCACACTATACACAAGAGGATCCTGGGATGATGATTTCCCCTTCTTTGCTCTGTCGTGTGCAACCTGTTCCATCTGCAGGGAGATTTCATACAGATCCCTGACCAGGCTCAGCAGAAGAGAATAGTAGTAATGGCGTGCAGCCCACATTCGCCATTTCTCTTTGTTAATGCCAGAGGCGAGCCCTACACTCCTCACAAAAAGGATGGTGTCACAGATGAAATAAATCACACGGTTCAGGCTGGCTAATATTAGGCAGATGCGGGGCACTAGGTCAGTGGCATGAATGCTCTGCTGAATCATCTGTACAGCATGTACCACATTGCCTAGTCTGAACCCTGCAAGAAGAACCCACAAGAGTTAACAGTTATTTAATCAGTATGTAATAGGATTTTACAGGCAGAATCCCTGTATCAGGGTGAGAGGTCAGCACTGTCTTTCTTTCTTTTTTTTTTTTTTACATCTTTATTGGAGTATAATTGCTTTACAATGGTGTGTTAGTTTCTGCTTTATAACAAAGTGAATCAGTTATACATATACATATGTTCCCATATCTCTTCCCTCTTGCATCTCCCTCCCTCCCACCCTCCTTATCCCACCCCTCCAGGTGGTCACAAAGCACCGAGCTGATCTCCCTGTGCTATGCGGCTGCTTCCCACTAGCTATCTACCTTACGTTTGGTAGTGTATATATGTCCATGCCTCTCTCTCGCTTTGTCCCAGCTTACCCTTCCCCCTCCCCATATCCTCAAGTCCATTCTCTAGTAGGTCTGTCTTTATTCCTGTCTTACCCCTAGGTTCTTCATGACATTTTTTTTCTTAAATTCCATATATATGTGGTAGCATACAGTATTTGTCTTTCTTTTTCTGACTTACTTCACTCTGTATGACAGACTCTAGGTCTATCTACCTCATTACAAATAGCTCAATTTCGTTTCTTTTTATGGCTGAGTAATATTCCATTGTATATATGTGCCACATCTTCTTTATCCATTCATCCGATGATGGACACTTAGGTTGTTTCCATCTCTGGGCTATTGTAAATAGAGCTGCAATGAACATTTTGGTACATGACTCTTTTTGAATTATGGTTTTCTCAGGTATATGCCCAGTAGTGGGATTGCTGGGTCATATGGTAGTTCTATTTGTAGTTTTTTAAGGAAACTCCATACTGTTCTCCATAGTGGCTGTACCAATTCACATTCCCACCAGCAGCAGCACTGTTTTTTTTTTAACAACTGACCGCCCTCTGAGGCTCAGTCTTTGCTCAGGAAAGGAGGACTGTACAGTATGTTAAGGACATCTAAAATGATCCTGGAATGTAAAAAAGACAGTGACTCTTTAAACTTATTGCCTCCATTTCAATGACTACATTAACAATGACTTACTACACACTTTAGGCAAAGGTCAGTCATAAGTGTGGATTGTTACATATGAATATCACCAGCTACACTTCTTTAGAAGGAAGGTACTGCAAATTACATGAACTCCAGATGCAACATTCTTTTGGAGAGTCTGATACCTTACACTGTACTTACTTTCCAGTTAAAAGATTGCTTTAAAAAAAAAAATACCATTTTTTTTCTGGTCCAAAGCCCCTTTGGCTCCCTACTGTCAAAAAGACAAAGTAGAGATGGTAGGATTTAGTGGATAACACAACTAATAATACTGTCATATGTGACTCCTAGTTCAGTTAAATCAACCATTGCAAGGGCATGTCCTTTATCTGAGCATGTAACTCAATTAATCAGGGATGCATCAATCAATAAATATTTACTGAGCACCTTCTCAGAGTAAGTTATAGTCCTAAACATTATGGAGGATACAAAAGAACTACTTTCCCTAAGTGACTATATCTTAGACTCAGCAAACACTCAGGAAACTACCCTCAGGAAACTTATGATCTCAGAAAAATGTTTTGTATTATTTTATCAAAAATAACACAAAATATGTAATGAATAATCCTGGGTTCCAGTTCTGGCTGTTGCACTAACTTAGTGACCTTGGGTAAGTCCTTTCTAGACTTCAGAGACTAGTGGTCTTTAAAGGACCTTTGAGCTCCAACATTCCAAAGAGCCTAAGAACTTCTAATCTTGGCTTTCCAAGGCATCCAGAAAAGCTCCTTCCCATCCCCCTGCTTGACAATCTAAGTCTTGTCTCCATCAAACTAGTTTTCTCATTGATCCTCAATACAATGGTTTGCCCAGAACAGTCCTGAGCCTCCACTAGAGGAAACCACCCTTCAAGAATGTTCTCCTAATCCTTCTCTCTCTTGCCACACCTCAAGTTCCATCTCCTCCAAACATCTTTCTTTTTCTCTACCCCAATCAACATACTTGGTACTAAATCTTAGATCATTATACCATGTGATCTTAGTTCTCCCATAAAGCTCAGGACTATATCTATATGAAGCAGGTACTCAAAGTGAATTAAATGAGTACAAAACACTGACCACTTTTTGGCATTAACATGAAACAATCCCACAAATGGCTTAAGAAAATGTATCCATCCATTTCCTCTAGCAATCCCTCAAGAGAAGGGGAAAAGGCAGGGGGTCAAGGATATAGCTATTCTATTCTTCGAGAGTTCCCAGGAGCCAGAAGCTCATGTCAAAGATTGCCAGACATTTTGTGATTCTAAGAACTAAAGGTGAACTAACACATTGCATGTCCCACTGGTTATGATTAAGCAGAAAGATATAATGTAGCACCAAATGTGAACATAGGAGGGTGTTTGTGAATGGTGTGCAGCAAAACATTCAATCCTTTTGGCCTGTCGTTCCATGAGGGCAGCCTTACGAGTAAACTTCATCAATAAAGTTGATTGACTAGAAAATCATGACCTAGGAAATATTTTGTGAATTACAAGGTCTGAGGATTCTAAACCAGGAGCCACTGTCCCTCAAGGGACAGGGTACTTACATTTACGGCCAGTGCTCACACTGGACTCCAGTTTCTTGAGCTTCATAACAACTTCCTGTTTGTCAGCTTTAGGCTCTAACAAATATCTAAGCAACATGCATGTGTACTGAGTGGCTCTGAAATGGAAACAAAATGAGGAGAATGATTTACAAACCAAATAAAATTCGACTCATGAAGTAGGGGAAGGAGAAACATGTCCTGCTAAAAGCAAAGTTTCCAAGACAATTTCTCATGTAGCAGCTCTTACAAGAGCAAAATTCTGCAAGAGTCACTCCACAGGGCTAAAGGGTAGAACATGTCATGGAAATGCAACACAAGGGTAATGAAAGAAAACTCTGCAATAATACAGTGAACAGCTCCTCAGAAGGCCTCCTGCTGGCACAGAGAAATGGATATAGTCAAAGCAGTAAACTGCACAAAAATGTTAAGTCTGCAAAGATCCATATTCTTTATTTCTTCCAGTGTAAATTTCTAAAAGATTTTCAGATTTCTAAAAGGAAATTTTTTTTACCAACTACTTATGTGACAGGTCACACACTCAAACCAAAGCCAAATGAAAAGTCCACCATTTGCATATTGCTTAACTTTTTATAAAAGGACCAAATACACACCAATACATAAATAAGTACAGATTTGTCTTTCAAAACTAATTAGTATTTTATATAAAATACAGACTCCTGTTTAATAATACTAAATATTCAATAAAGTGATTATTGTCATGAGTACAAATAGCAATGCCTTACCAACAGAAACATAACAAATAAAAGATTTTATATCACATAAACATCTAAATGCATTTGGCAGTCTAGTAAATAAAGTAGGTAGATGCCTGTTTCCTACTGTCCTGTAACTGCATTTGAATCCCTTTATGCTATAAATATTATTCTCAATAAAAATATAGCACATTTTCCAAAATGGTGAATTTGTTATTGTGAATGAAGTAAAAAGAAACAATCTCTCCTTCTCTTTCAAGTATGCTTCCTGGATAGAGGGCTCAAGCTGGTCAGGTCAATGAATCCCCCTTTTTCAGATCTGGTCTAATAATAAGAATGCGTCCAAACACAAGGCATTATTTTCTGAATGCCAGTGTGTTCAAAGAAGCTATAGATCACCAAGGGGATTAGGAAATGAATACTAGAGATCTCACATCTTGCTAAATAAGTATATCTTAAACAATTATTTATTTATTATTATTTCTTTGCCACATCACACAGCACGTGGGATCCTAGTTCCCTGACCAGGGATCGAACCCGTGCCCTCTGCAGTGGAAGCAGAGTCCTAACCACTGGAACGCCAGGGAATTCCCCTAAACAATTATTTATTAACCAACCTCACTGATAAAATTTGCAGGGTACATTCTAAGTACATTGCATTTGTAGGCTTCTATTTTAATGAAGTTTGTACATTATGCAACCATTTTGAAAATCTATCAAATTAATTAGAAAGATAGTATGGCTTGGTAGTTAAAGAATTGGGCCCCAAGTCAACTGTCTTTTCTTTGTCTTTGCGGTACGCGGGCCTCTCACTGTTGTGGCCTCTCCCGTTGCGGAGCACAGGCTCCGGACGCGCAGGCTCCACGGCCATGGCTCATGGGCCCAGCCGCTCCGAGGCATGTGGGATCTTCCCGGACTGGGGCACGAATCCGTGTCCCCTGCATCAGCAGTCAGACTCTCAACTACTGCGCCACCAGGGAAGTTCAACTGTGTAGTTCTAAATCTCTCGGTTCAGTCACTTAGTCCCTATTAACCTTCCGCTTCAGTTTCCCCGTTTCACATAAATGGGGATGATTCAGAGAATTTAACCTAATAGGGTTGTGTTGAGGGTTAAATGGGTTAATAGTTCTAACACACTGAGAACAACGTCTGGCATTAATTCCGCTTCCAAAAGTCTCAGAATTATTGGGGCTACTACTGATCTGTGTGTATTAGCACTTGTACACCCAGAAGGAAAAGCTGTTAAATAAAACTGTAACTGTGACTAATTTCTTATTATTGAGCAAGACTCAACCAAATTCCTAAAAGAAATATCATGAACTAGTATTAAAGCCGCAATCTCCTTAATATTTTCGTGTACCTTAGAGGTGCAGTAGTTCTTTCTGAGGCTCTCCACACTATTTTACAGTTCGCAAAACTATTTCACATGCGCTATCTCAATGAGATATACGGGACAAGGACGGAAGATAAATACAAGTGTTCGCTTCACTGGTCATAAATGTCAACCCAGAGTTTCTCTTAAATAATTCCTCGGAAGAATGTTGGGCGGAGAAAACCCAGTCTTTCTCAGGTTAGGAGAGGAGGGTTCGTCGGCTGGTTTAACTGCTGGTTTAACTGCCAGCGCCCCAGAAGCGGCTGCGGGACTTTGGGGCACGAGGCTCGGGACCGGACGCGGTGCGTTCGGACCTGCCCCACTGAATTTAGGGTGAGGAGGGGCTCCGGACCACACTCCCTCCGGGAGCCGGCAGCGTCCTTCCTGCTTTCGTCCACTGGGCTACTACCTCCTTCTCCGGATGCCGGAGAACAGGGAACCTTGTACCGGGTTGAGGGACGGGGAAGGGCTAGAGGCCGCGGGCACCGGACTCACCTGAAGAGACGGTCCCGGCCCTGGGTCTGGTTGGTGAAGCGGATGAAGGCGTCCATGGCACCCAGCCCAAGGACAAGAGTCGCACCGGGTTCTTTTGCGAGTCCTCAGGGGCTGCTGACGAGTCCCCACGGAACTGTCGGTCTCTGCCACCCAGAGGACCCGCGTCTCCCCACCCGCGTGGGAGCGGGTGCACTTTCCGAAGAGCAACTTCTAGGGCTTCCGGTTTGGGGCCGGAAGTTGTGGTTACTAAGGCAACGTCAAGCTGCCGGCCCAGGTGAGCGAAACTTCGGCTTTTGCCCTCGGGTGCAGCGGCTCCTCACTTGTCCCAGGACTCTCCTCTATCTCTAGGATCTCCTAGAGGGCGATCTGAGGGAGCCCGTCTCCTCAGCGTCGGCTTCCCCGGGACGCCCCGCGCCTCCCCTCAGATCCCGGATATCCAGGGACCCCCCCCAGCGGAATCCCGAATGGAGATTCCTGTGAACTTTTGCTTGGGAACTGAGAAGCCTAATCATTTCCCAGCTCTGTGCCTCCGTTTCCATTAGCAACACCAGCTCCAGATCTGGGGAAGGAAATGGTTAGAGCAGAAATAAGCCAATTCATGGAGTGTATTTTAGCAGGAGAGCTGGGTAAAGTGAGAGAATTTTCTGTTCGGATTATTAACACTGAAAGAAGATTGCTACTTGAGGAAATTCTAAAAGGGTTAACGTGAACAAAGTGGGGGCAAAAAGAGATTAAAATGAAATTGCACCACTGAACGTTCCTTCTGTGAGGGCTGAAGACATGAAGCCCCACTCATTCCATAGCAGTAATTTTATAAAATGTACAACCTATAGTCACAAAGTAAGGTCATCTATTTTTGTAATCTTTATTCCCGTGGTCAGGCCTGCACCTAACATTTGCAGGCCCTGGGTACAAATAGAGACCCAAAAACCATGTTTAAATGTTTAAATTTTTAAATCAAGGTAACAAATTGTTGAATAAGCTACGTTCTTTTCTCCTTCCTGGACAAATGTACCGTCATAATGATCAAGAAGTCCAGTTTCACATTCAGGATTCTTGGACTCCTTGGAATACCTGGAAACATGGCTAGAATATGGTACTGTGGGGAGAGCTGATCTCCAGTCCTTTCCCAGCTCTTTCCACCCCATTTTTGGCTCCCACTTACATCACTGAGAGGGGCGTTGCATACATAGTGTGGATACTCCAAGCCACATGCAAGTTCTGCCCATTATCCTGCAAAGCGCCATGCCTTGTCCACCTTTCAGGTCTAGGCGTGCCCGTATTAGCACCCATTTCTCTGCCCTCCAGAGAAAGCTGGGAAAGAGGCTCATGCAGAACCTGGCATCGTTTGGGCAGTAAATTCCAGGGGTACAGGTACCCTGAACATGGTCTAGACTCCAGAAGAGGGGCAGTCTAGGCTTTGGGTGGGGATAGCCTCTTTACCCCACGAATTACTCATCCTTTGCAGAGGGGAGTGCCTGGAAGAGAACCAGAAGTATTCTCTTAATTCATGTCCCAGAGCAGGGCAATACTGCAAGCAATAAGAATTTCAGTGCTAGCACTGCACCAACCACGGTGCTAAGCTCTAGGCCTAGGGCAATAGATTAATGAGGGACACAGAAAAATGGGAAAGTACAACACACTGATGCGTTAGATGATAGAGGTGAGCACAGGGTGCTCCTAAACACAGATTTATATAGTCTGTTTTCTATACCTACAATTCTGCCTTTTCCACTGTATCATAAATTGAATCATTTAGTATATAGCATTTTCTGATTTCTTTCACTTAGCATAATGCATTTGAGTTTCATCTATGTTGTGTATGTCAGTAGTTTGTACATTTTTATTGCTGAGTGGTATTCCATTGGATGGATGTACCATACTTTGTTATCTCTTTATCCACTGAAATACATTTGTGTTGTTTCCAGTTTGAGGCAATTATAAAGCTGCTATAAATATTTAAGCACAGATTTTCATATGAAACATGTTTTAATTTTTCTTGCATAAATATGTAGGAATGGGATTGCTGAATCATGTTAAGTGTATATTCAGCTTTGTAAGAAACTGCCAAGCTGTCTTCCAAAGTGACTCTACTATTTCGTGTTCCTGCTG